CGTCAGGCGTAAAAAGTTGACAAATTCTAACCGTCAGTAGTAAAGAAAGTCGACGGTAAAAAAATTTCCGGTGACAACAATGGAATAAATTTAATCCGTTAGCCATAAAAGCCATCACCCGATTGAGACCCTCTTATCAATAAATCTCACACGCGTCAGAAATACTTCCTTTAAGTCAGAGTATTGCACAATTCATATTCAATCACCTAAATCGTTCTAGCTACGTCAGCTAGGAGAGACTGAAGGCTGGCAAACAGTAAATGTCGAGCAGTATACATCGAGGGAAATAATTTGCATCAGAATAAATTGAAAGTAAGTTTTCAGCAATATGCATACCTCAAGAAACTTCATTGTTGTCTTATCAGATACAAAGCTTACACAATTATTCATTTTCAGACGTAATTTAGCCCTTTTTTGATTTTTTGCCAATGTACTGTGTCGCAAAACCCACCTTGTATTGTTGACGGCTACCATGTTTACTCGCCAAAATAACGCGGCTTCGCACGCACTATCTGTCTCAATACTGAAAAAATATCAACTAGTATTATTCGCATTAGTCTTAAAATCCATAGTTGTCTTTTTACTTTTTGCTACTGTCATCAGTCACTCTCTCAGGCCCATCCTTACTCGGTAAGAAAGCTGCTTAATGGTTGAATAAACAACGGCAGATTATGTAATATATCCTCTGAAATGACAAACCAAACCCGACGAAAGTATGCTCATTACACTTCGTATGGAAGGCTGATGGTGATCTATAAGAAGCATCGATTCATATGCCATCCGAATTTTTCCGCTTCCTGTCGCCTCCATATTGTTTCCACTTCTGAATTCACAGAAATCGCAACCGCGAGGTCACAGGTTGAAGTTTCAGAATGCTTTTCGCACCAAACCATCGATTGCATTGTTACGAAACATGCTGCAAGGATTATTTCGTCATTCTATGATGTGATTACCTTCTTTAAGAGCCTACGGTTCAAGAATTTTGACATCCAACGGTTTTCTTCTTCCTCTTTCGTTTATTGCAGCTATTTTAAGCTCGCAATGTCAAATGTTGTTTTTGTTTCGAAGCAATTTCGTACCACAAATATCCTATCGAGAAGCCTCCCCTTTTTTTTATTAGAAAAACAAAGCAAAAGTAAACTTTTCAATCATCTATTCCTGTTTTATTTCTTGAGTATTTCGACTTTTTGAAAGCCAATTCCTTCAAAGGGTCTCTGGAAAATAAGGAAGTGCATCATTTACATTAAATTTTCCCGATCATTGCCATTCACGAAATGAGTAATTATATTTTCGCAATGTCGCCTCAATTAATTTTGTCCGAAAGCGACGTACTGTTCAACCAGCTGATTGATAATGATGCTTCAAACAAAGATGTCATTTTGGTAAATGATGGCGTGTTTATACTGCGTGCAATGGACTTCCGCAAAGTAAAAATATAAATGATTGTATCCTCTCTCCAAGGATTGGAAACTTGAAAGTGATATTGTGATACGGCGGCCGGGAACATCATTACAATACAGGCTGGACAATTCCTGACAAAGTAAACTGGAACGTATTTTGAACGACCGACAAGGTAAATTTTCCAGAAAAAAAATATGAATAGTCCTACCAAAAGCGATGTTTTCACTTTCTCCATCTATTATTAGCAGTTAACCAATATTTCACATGGTTGTTCCTCTCGGAAAAAACCCAGTCTTTAACTTTCAAGTTCCTCGTTTGCAATCTGACCAATCTGTGTTGATCTTGGCATTCTCAGCTAAACAACCTAAGCTGATCGAAGTCGCGTCTCTGGATTTCGGTTCATTACCTAACTTGCTGTATAGCATTCAGAATACGAAGGTCCTTCATGAATCCAATGACAAACTTTATCAGTATACTTAATTAACATGCGGCATTCTTGTTTTCGGTGCTATCATATTCTCTCGGCTTCCTATCAACTTTTTTGAAAGAGAGTCATTGTAAAATTAAGAATTTTCGATGTGCAATGAGGCGTATTTCAATAACTCCATTTCCACTTTCACGCATTGCGCATGTATTTACGAGTATTCGTTGAAATATTCATACATAGTGTCGTTTTTTCATCTCAATAAAGCGTTTTTCGATGCTTAAACAGCCAGTTTTATTGCTCAACAAATACTCTGTTGTTTGCTGGAGGATTTTGGGTTGAGATTGGCAAAATATTGAAGGAATTTAAAGGATACCTAAGAATGTTAAATTTATGAAGAAAATTTTTTTTTGCTTGTTCATGGAAATGATGAAATCGCACATGAATTTTAATGAACACATTTTCGTCCGCATGAATTCTGACACGATCATGAAAACTATTGTTAAATATGTCATTGATATGAAGGCAATTCTTAAAAAAAAACTATAAACTTATAAACTATATAAGCAATATCATAGCTGATAGCTGCTTGTTTTAATGCGAGTATGTCAACATCATTGTTTTGGTCTAAATTCGAGTGAGAAACAAGAACAGTGATTCAGCCTAAATGTTCAGAACATAAACTCTTATAGGATAATGGAGTGTTCCAAAAAAACTATAAAGAGAGAAGAATCTTGCTATGTTTAAAAGGGAAAAAATGTTAAATAGAGAAATGACTTAAGGAACGATTTCATATAATTTTAATGAAAATTGAATTCATTGGGAGTGTAGGCGTAAAGTGTGAATATATCTGAGCAGATATAAGCAATTAGATGCTCTTTAGGGGGCCGTTGTGATAAATGTTTCAAAGAATACAAACGGCTCGATATTCCGTTTATTTGCTGAAGATTTATAATAAGACTTCTTCCCGATCTAGGGGAGATGTCAATTGTTTGTCTCGCGTTTTTTCTTCCCTATCTACTACTGAAATTACAAAACGTTCCAAGTGCAGTAGAATTGTTTATTTTGTAGATCAATCTCATCTGTGGAGCACATTTTATTATCCATTGATCTGAACTTATCATACATTACCATATTTAAAAACTAAGAAAAATAGAAATTAAACCAAAGAAAAAATTGAATTTCAACATTCAAAACCTAAATCATAATTTTTCATTTACGCGGTAGAGGTGTCGAGGTGTTAGGAGAATTTTCAAACAATATGTATCGAATTTTAAAAATAACAAAGGTTTACTATTATGAAATATTTTTCAAAGATAAAGGCAAATTCACAATGTCACAATCGAGTCTGCATACTCTGAAAATAATCTAAAGCAAGAGCCCATTAGTAATAATGGGCTACTGTCCAAACACACCTATCAACCGCTGAGAGCGCAGGGAAAATCTTTAACATTTTGTGACAGTGTTAATTGTACATTGCTTTTGTTCACTCAAGTAAAATCGCAAGGAACTTAAATTCTAACGTCAGCTAACGTTGTCTGTTTTTAAGCAATGGCTATGTTTGTTTGTCGGCTGGTTAGAGTATGAAACTCTCCCCGGTGCGCCTTGACATCTACGAGCTCATATGGAAACCCTTTCCTTTTTTTTGGCTTCTTCAACTGAATGCGTCAGACGGAACATATGTTAGCAAGCGCTAAGGGGAAAAAGTTTCAACTTCAGGGTACTGTCCGCGTCAAAAATTGTCCTAACTTGATCAGCCCCGTTTTTCTGAATATGGAAAACACGTGACACCTCTTCAGCCAATCAAGTGCAAAACTAAAACAGCTTTTGTCTCGATCACTCGCGTTTTCTCGCGCTCTAGTCTAGGTGTCAGGTTTTCCTTGAGATTTCATTGGCCTTTATACTGTTTATAATCTCTCGCCCCTATAATATATATTATAAAAAACGTAATTGCCTGATATGATAAATTTAATTTCAAATCTCAGTCGAAAGGCACTATGGATAGAGAACGAAAAACGTCTTTGTTATAGTGCACAGAACACTGCTAAGATTTCAAGTCTTGCAACCGCAATTGCGTTGAGGTCACTCAAGAGCTAACCACTAATAATGGCAAACTCAGGTGTCTTCCCTCAGCTGGTTGGAATTTTTAATCAAATTATGTTTGACTTGTTCTGTTTGTTTGTGATTATTTGTGGAAAGTTATAGCTTGCTCATGTATGTTGAGTAGCTTTTAAACAGAAGATTCAAAATATATATCTTTGCGTAAATCTAAAATGGTAGGCAAGGAGCAAGGAGGTATAGCTAAATTACTACAAATAAGAAATCATTTAAAAAAATGATGAAAGTATATTTCGGTCTACCTTGAAAAGTGATCTATATTTTTTATCCCTCGTTTTTTTTTTTTTGATTGGTCGACTGTCTGACATGACGTCACAGGAAACAGAGCTGTCTCGACCAAAATTCAACAAATCATTCTTTTTTTTTTGGGCTTTCACTTCGCTTCTTTTATCCGTAATCCTAATATTTTCTCTGGCAATTTCTCAATGGAGTTTTGCTGATCTACCCTAAAAATAAAAAAAATAGTGTTTTGGTCAAAACAAGAGGGTCTTGAGTGGTGTTCTCAGTGTAAACTCACTTCTAAAGCGAATAAGCTTATAAGCTGGTCGATAATATTCGCATTGGAAAAATTTTCAAAAATAACGATAAGAGTTTATTAACCCTTACGAGAGTTAATCCTAAGCATTATACGATTGAAAAGATACGCTCCGCCCCACGTTATTTATGCACGATTTGCATTTTTCATCATGTGCTTGCCTCGTTTCTTCCCGTTTACTATCGTTTTCTGGTATTTCCCCGTTGCTAGTCAAATGATCGATGTCTGCCGTCATCGTTTGTTTAATGTCTTCGTTTCCATAATTAATATCAGAAACAAGTAGCTTTTCGATCAAACACGACCATTTGCTTGGCTATTTCATTGCAGCCACCAACTGGCGAAAAAATTAAAATGTCTTCGGTAATACCCACTAGTTTTTCGCTTCAAGCTAAACTTAACGGTTCTTCATTGGAGGTCAGAAGATTTTCGAGATGAATTTTTAATCAGACCTTATTTGCGTTTACTCTGCTTAGCGAAAAATCGTTTTACAGGTGCTTACTCCTTTTTCGCTTCTTTCTACAGACAAGAAGAAAGAGTTAACCTTCGGCGGAGTAAACAAATCGACAGTGAAGGCTAAATTGAATATACTGTGTATACCCCTCCACATAGACCAGGTAAACAAAGCAAATATATTCCGGTTTCCTTTTTTTAATACACATTTTACTGAATAACCTTGAATGTTTTTGCCTGTATTTTAAAGTCACGGCCTACAGCTACAAGAAAATACCCTCCCACTGTTAAATATTTTGTGCCCTAAACGCAGTTATTTCATTGTGGCAAAAATATGGCCAAAATAGATATTGTGTCTTATTTTCCTTCTTCACTTGAAGCTATAGAAAAACGCAACTGAATTAAACATGATGAATAAAATTTTAACTGAGATTACAGGCGAGTGTGGAAATGTTTCGAACTTGAGTAACACATATAGAAAATCTAGTTCTAATATTTTATTTTTCCGTTTTTTCGTGTAGCTGTTGCCACTCTGCTCAACATAATACTTAAATTAATAGTTTAAAACATACAAAAGTGAATGTTTTAATTAGAATATTTTCCAAATTGACAGCTGTCACCTGAAATTTAAACGTTCCCCTTGAAACTGTCCAAAGAAACTAAAATGAAAGCTAAACGCTATATATTTGTTTTGACAAATTCGCGCAACTTGTTCCAGAAACATTTCTCCGTTATTAGATAAAATAGAACGGGTTAAGATAAACTATTATGCTCATGCATCTCTTGTCACGAAACTTTAAAATCAGAGAAATTAGCATTTGGGAAATTATTTAAAATCGTAGGTGAAATCCGCAGTCCTGTGGCGCCGACTGAGAGATATGTGTGAATCTCAACTACTCCTTTCTAGACAACTCCCACAACGGGAATCATATTTAGAGCCTAACTACTTTACTCGACGTCGCAAAGTCTGCTTAGGAGTATCGCACGTAGAAACAATTTTCACATAATAAAGTAATTACACCAAGAGGCGGATATATTAGACTTGGTTTTCTTGAGGCGATGAAAGGAACTGAAAGCAGCTAAAACCGCAAGGCAAACCACCCGCTCTTATTTTTTTTATTATTTTTTTTAAATCCTGATGCTCATCATGTCCGACCTGCAAGAGCATTTTTTTATCCCCATATTGTCACGTGTAGCTGCCCACGCAAGCTCAAGGAACCCGTCAACGAGAAAAACAATTTCTTTCTTCGGCGACGTTCACGAAACTGGACTTTGTCCTCTGTTCCTCATCCGACTCGCTTTGAAACTGAAGTCGATCGCCAGAAGATTTTTTGTTCAGTATAAGTCGCCACAATATATTGCTATTTCATCGAACCACCGACTCTTCTGCCGTTTCCTCTCTTTTTATTTTTAGCATCTCAATCTTATCTTCATGAATAGGCACTTAATTAAGCGGATTCACCTGCCACCATAGTAGTTCCGGTGACATAACACGAAACATTTGGCGCCTATTAGTTAGTTGAGTAATTACTTAAGAAGCACACATTTGCGTTAACACTACCTATGTGTGCGCGATTTAAAATCAACTTTTTACTGGCTCGTGTAGGTTCAGAATAGCTTGGAACGATTGCGCTCTTCATAATTTTCCCGTGAAACTGCAGTCTACGAACAACCAGAGAGAACTATCCTTCGTTTTCGTCTCAGAATCAGGTCTTATGTTTTTGTCGCACCTTTTCTGCGCTAACCTGTGAAGTTTTGGCCTTTTTCAAAATTGTATACAAACATAATCTTGTAGTTGTTATAGCCTCGGGGTGATTTTATTTAGCTGCTTACAAAGTACAATTAACTTCTATCTATTCAAACACCTCAGCTACTGTATATAATGCATTTCATTAATTTAGATGCGAATACAAGTATAAGTTCATCGGCAAGTACATCTCTAGTTCGATCGAAAGCTCAAACTTCTGGCTACCAAGTGATAAAAAAAGGTAATAACATTCCTTTTTTAATATCTTGGCACGATCCCCGTGGATTTACTGGTTTAGCATGAATTTAACAGTTGTTCGGCATAACTGGAAGAAACTTGAGTTTGAGAATCAAGACGGTATTTCTTCGAGTAGGAACATGATCCTGTGTTTGTTAACGTTTCCAAGAGTCTCTGGTACCGGGTAGCTGAGCTTATAGAATTCTATACATCTTCGAATTCTGAGCGCAAGCTCTTTCGCGATTTCTTCATTGGCGAATTCAGCAGACGGCTTGCAAAGCTGAAATCCTAATTTACATTTTCAATTATTTTGTGTGCAAGCAACAAAAAAAGATCTCTCTCATACGTCTTTCTCCTGTATTTTCTTTCTCTTTGCCAAAGTTAACCCTATATATTGCTTAGCTATATAAATTGTTTTAATACCCCATTCACATCAAAGCATCGACATGTGTTAGACTTGTTTTGTTAAACACGGGTGGAAATGTTTTCTTCATCAAAGCTGCTTTAAACCAACGTTTGTGACCTTTAATTTAAAACACTAAAATACAAGTCAGTGTCTACTTTAACACTATGGATATTCAGTTTTTCAGTTCTCTGTTTATAATTTTCATTCAGTTAAACAAGGTTTAACTACATGTTTTTCTGGTGTGAAAGGGGTATTTGAGTGTCACTATGGACCTGTGAAACTCCCAAATTTCACCAGATGAGGAGAGTTATTCCAAAAGCTAGTTCCTTGACAACCTACCCGGATATTGATGCGAACGACTTCCTAAAGACCATGTCTGAGTTCTTTTGTTTACTTTCTGATTTCCTACTTAGACGCTAAGATCCGACAAAGTTTCTTCTGTCTGTCAAAGTGAGACAAAATAGCACACTTTGCATAAGAAATCAGGTGATGGTGGTGCCATTTCACCTTAAATTATACGTGCACTATTGATGAGGCGCTTAAAATCTGATCACTTAATTAAGGAAGAAATTCATGGAGAATATGAAGAAAGATTCGTTGTTAGATTAAAAGGATTTTTAAAACATTCGTGAAGTAAAGCTTTAATTTTTGATAAACATTGAAAATAAAATGTGCCCGTGAAAGAATAGCGTTCGTTCGCGAAATAGCAATCTCTGGTTGTCTCAGAAATTTCAGCTTCATCTATTAAAACATTCATCTAAAGATAATCACTCGAAAGCTTCCTCTCTAGAGTACAGCAACTAGCAATCATAAACGTCATGATACCCATCGTTCATTTACAAGTTGTACCCAGGTCCTTCCGTGTCCATATCATTTTCTGTCTGATTCTCAGGCTAGAAATTGCACTCTTTTGAAAATTGCTTTTTAAAGAGGTTTTATTTTGAACGACGCAGTCATGTTTAAAGCTTATGACTTACCCAACTCATAACTAATGGCCTGCCTCTGCGAGAATCTTTTTGTCCAATTTCTTTAAAACTTTGACCCCTAAGAGTGACTCACACGTAATTTCTCCTTACCATATAACTCGTGAATAACACAACAAAGTCCTGAGAATAAAGGAAAGAAGCTCTCGATTGTAAAACAAATTCTTCCTTCAGCAACTGAGGCAGTGTATGGAGAACAGTACGGAGACTACGAATATTGATGTTTAGGTGTGAAGGGCTATCTTCAAGTTCATCAGCGAGGTTCAGTTTCAAATTCAGTTTTTATTCATATGTCAAAACATGATTTCTTTCTTCCAACTGAGATCAAATTTGCCCAGTTTAGCAGTTCCACCCAACGAATTTTTTAGAGGCACGGGTTTGACCTCTATTGATTAAAGCCTGAATTGTTCAGGCCTCTTTCCTAGCAATTTACGTCACTCGTCGTTCGTCTGTGAGGATCGTTTCTGTATTTCCTCAACATCCATTAAGCGGAGTGAAGTCTGACAACCAGATGAGTTCACAGAAGAAGTAAAAGGATCGGCAAAGAAATATATTGTGAGCAATTCCCATCTTTCAGGCTGAGAACCAACAGAATTTCGGGGCTAAGCCTTTTCATTTAGCATATTCTTTTCCACCAACATTACAAATTCAAAATGCTATGTTTTTTATCTCGTGTCTAATATCTTTCGAAAATACTGTCATATTTTGTAATCACCCTCCATAATTCTGCTGAACTAACATGACAAATTGAAAATGCAATTTTCCTTTTTCTCCTCTCATTTGCTACTCTTTTATAATATACTGTCATATTTTGCAATTATCTTCGTTAATCCTACAAAACTATCATGGCAAGTAGGAAATGCACCCATCTGCTAATCTGTCACATCTTGTTCTTGTCCTCGTTAATTTTTCGACAACTTTGCCAAAAGACATAACAAACACCACTTTAATTGTATGAAAAATATCTCTTTTTCCCACTTATCGACAGAGATTACATAATGTTTCTTTCTGATGATAAACACTGAGCTTGCGATTTTTTTTCTGCAGCATAATAGCGTTAGATATAATATTTTGTAATTTACTCTTTGACACACAGGTCTAGTGCACAGTAAGTGCAATTTTAAAATTTTGGGTCTAAATTTTTGAAGTCAGATTCGAGGAAAAGAAAAACTTTCCCAACATGAAGCTTTTTTTTACTAAGAAAATGAGTCAATCTTTTAACAGTCTTATCGAACGACAGCTAGATAATACCTGAGTGATTAAAATATGCATAAGACTGAATAAACATTTGAATTAACTGAAAAAAGTCCCTGAGGGTTATCGTTTCCTCAATGGTGAGCCAACAATTTGGCCGCCCATTAGAGTCGAATAAAACTTTAACATAAAACAATAAACTACACCCTTGTCTAAAACTTTTGTTCTAACCTGAGATCATAACATCGACTCGGAGGTGGGGTTGTTGGTGTCATCCACAAATGACTTTAAACCATGATCACGAAACATGGAAACAACGCTTATTAAATACACAGAAGATCGACATCGATTACTCCCTACACTTTGAATAATTTATGCCATTTCGTGTCGACCCTTTTGATTAATAGGATAAAGTAAATTCTTAACATTAAGAAAGCTTTCAGGTGTCGCTGTAACGTAACATCCACACTCAGTTTTACACTCTATTACTTTTTGGGTCTGTTTCAGAAAATTTCACACTATCAAAGTAGTAATCTTGAAGAAGACATCTAATTGTTTATGCATTTAAACTCAGCCATCCTCTACCTATAAGGTAAGAAATAATGATAATTTGAAACCTTATATCTCTTTATATATAAATCTTTGGGTTAGATTTCTTAAACACTACCAAAACATTGTGCGCTAGTTTAACTGCATCTGAGAATAAATGTACGAATTGTTCAAAATTTAAAGTTATTTTCCGGTTATAAATGTAACTTGAAGCATCTTGCAAACCTGTTTAAGTTCACACTGGTCGAAAATTTCGAAGGCCAGTGTTTGGATTTCATGCAAATATTCGTTATTGTGGTAAAGTGAGCTTTCTCATGCCTGTCGGCCACGGTTGAAAGTCTTTCAAAAGTGATCCCCTAGGCAGGGATGTTACTCTGAAATGCATCTTGAAGGAAAAAAAATATAAGGAACTTTTGAGTGTGGTTTATGTAGGAAGTAAATTGACTCTCTAGAAACCCCTTTATAGAAAATATAAATGCTAAGGCTAAAGCCTAAAAAAAATATTATTATGTCTACGAAATATTAATGCTCTCAATTAGCCAATAATTCGTGCTTTCGCGTGCATTATAGGAGTTTGATGCATACTGAGAAATTTGCATAACACTTACAAAGTAAGCGAAATGTTTCCTTCAAGGGCATTCGAGCGCAATTGCAACCACTAGAGTGCTCCTCAAACTTCTCAAGTGTATCAATAAGTTGATGGCCAACTGAAGTGGAAGATGTGAAAACAGGTGAAATTTTTTCCAATCACTCGGAAGCGAAGGTAAAGTACCTCGCACGAGTTTTGAGTCAGTTTTGCCTTAGGTCTGTTAAAGTTTCGTGTAGACTGTTTTTCGTGCCATGTGTGCATATTCCCAGGCAAGAATGCTACTTATTCCGGTCGCTCATTGAAAATGAATATCCGCTCAAGAATTTTGCTCAGATTCCGACCACGGTCGTATGACAACGAACCATTAGTCTAAAATTTCATTTGATTGAGTCATCAAACTGAGTTTTCAGCTTTGCTGTAGTTCTGATGTGTAGAAAAAAAGTTACATTTTGCAGTTAAAGCGACCTTGAAATTAATAGAGAAAGTAAGAATAGCACGAAAGAAGTAAATTAAACCGTAGGTCAGCTGAAAAAAGCTACTAATGAAGCCCGAAGAGTGTAGGAGTACAGCAAAACTGATTCGATGTACTGCGACCAAGTAACTTTTACTAAGATTACGCTGATGTTTACCGATATCCAGCTCAGGGATACTCTTTCAGACATCAAATTTGTCTGTCTTAACAACAGCCAAAACGACCGAAAATAAATCGAGTTCTACTTTGCAGTTTTTCGGTGAAATCTTTCGGCCGAAGCAGTCGGTTGCAGATTTGTATAATAAACCACTGAATCGTTTGCCCGAACGAAGGTGAATCTGCTCTTGCCGATTTTGTTGCAAATTAATGATGTTTTCTCATGATATCATTTCATCGGTTTCCAACCCACGCGTGTCACAAAATTTCCCGCCATTAAAGGAAAAGTCTTAGTCAAAGCAAGAATTCATTTTCCATGAGGTTGTCCATTAATACAAGTTTAAGACTAACGACCAAATCATAAGGTACGCATTTGATTAAAAAAAAACTCGTTGCATTAAAACAGCCTGAGAAAACACGAGGTAAACTTAACATCAATAACCATATTTTCCATACTAACCTTCATACATTTCCTTTTGTAATGAAAAGGAAAGTTCAATGAAAGCATCTTAGGTTGACGATCATTTCCTCGGTAATTTCGTTGCATTCGTTAAGTTACAGTTTCTTAAGAAAGGAGTTTGTTTTAGCAGAAAATGATCACAAAAGTATTAGTTTTTAGCTTCTATTTGCCTAAAGGTGCAAAACGTGAATTCATAAGGTAAAAAAAAATAAACTGAAACCGGGTTTGCCGATTTTTTAACCTTCTAAAAGGTTTTGTTTTTAACTCCCATTTTTCATCCGTTCTCATCAGGAATAAATTTAGAGTAAGAGCGCTTAATACTTACCGGTGACATTCACAGCTATCGCAAGAAATATCTCCCGTGGCGTTAATTTGGAGCCGTCAGGATATGAAGATGATAAGCTTACAGATCTCCCTAACAGTATCAGTCTGCGTTAAAATTTGGTTCCCAATAGCATTGAGTTGCGAAAGGGCACTTGCATAAGGTGGATCATTTAAAGTAAATTAATGTTTTTTCCCAGTACTAACTACGAGAACGAAACTACGATGAAACTTTTGCTATAGGTTCTTCCAAACAACGGCGAAACTTTCGTATAGTGTTTTAACAGTCTTTATAGCTTTTGTTGCATGCATGTGCGTGATATATCTGCACAATTTGCCCACGGCACACCGTATGTCTTTGAATGAATTAAACGAACTATTTAATTGGTAAAGTGCTTTTAAAGGCAGGAGAATTAAAGGATAAAATTTGAAATATTAACTGGATGGAGATTTCCGATCGAAATTGGGAAATGCGCGGTTTGATAAGAATTTTAGAATACACCATCCTTGTGCATGTCTTAAACAATCGTTTTCTTTTGGATTGATAATTTTTTTTCGAAATTCTGCCAAACCTTAACACGTTTCATAAAACTCCATAACGAAAATTCTTTGTCAAATAAAAAAAACCAAAAAACACAAAATAAACTTAAAAATGCAGTTATTATTCCATTCACAGATGAACCAGATTGAGCGATTTGGACCTCATGCAGCCATGCAGTATTTTTAATTTAATCTTTCCGCACTAAATCCGCTTGATTTAAGCGATACGACTTGGACTGCATAAAGGCCAATTAATGGAGGTGTAAAGATGGACAGATGAAAAGAAAATTGGCCTAGTGTAAAAACCAGAATGACGTACGTTGAATTACTAATGAAAAAAATTCTCTTTAGGGACCTATGGTTGTCTGGGTGATTCAGTTAAAAGCACTTTGTCGATCGCCTACAGATTTTGTATCACACTCTTAAGAAAACATCTTTTGGCGCTCAGTGGAAATAAGGTTGGATCCCTAAAGCCATTTTGAGGACAATATCTTTTCTTTCCTGTGACAGAAAGAGAGCGAATCGAACATTTGATAACCACAGAATAAGACTGAGCATTGAGAAACCAGAAAGTGCAAAGGTAAATACTACTATAGCGAGTTTATGTATGGCTTCATGTAAACAAAACTGAAATGTGAGGGATAACCTCACTGTCTCAGAGCATTAGTTGAGTTCTAAATTAAGGAATAAGATTACAAATCTCCTTTAGTTTATTATCGAAAATTTTAGTTTGAAACTACCACTGACAAGCACGAATGAGACAAAAGAATATGTTTCACTCTACCGCCCTTCGTTGTAATGACAAACAATGGCTTGACTCCCCTTTCTACAAGGATGCGTTGTTTGATATCACAAATGTACATCTTCTAAACCTCTTGTACGTAATTCTATCACAAAAGCTCAAATTTGACACTTAAAAAGGTTGCCTTGAAAATTGTTTGTTTCTATATTAGAGCCTTGTCAGTTGACTCCTGTGTATACCGTAACACGCCGACAAATTTGCTCTAATTCTAATTTTAACACTGCAAATATATTTGGCAAGAGGGATCTGCGATGCTCTCAATTTACTAAGCTCTCCAAGGCATGCAAATGTTGTGTTTTGAACGAACACGAATGGGTTCAGGACAAAAACAGAGGCGCGAAAGAACACGACGACAACAAGAACGGTAGCATCAAAACACAACTAAGTGCTCCTCTTTCGAAGATGAAGAATTCTAACAAGTATTTTTTACGATAAATCGCTGCAATTTTTGCAGTTCAAATATTGCTTAAAGTTCTGGGTGACGTAGAAAAAGTAATTTGTAATTTTAAAACGTAGTGGGTGTCTCTACCCACTGAGCATTTCGTTTCCATCCGAGCACTTTATTAACGAAGAGGAGGAAGGCTGAATTAATCTTTTGTTTCTTTTGTGGCAAAATGCAAGTTAAAGGTTCATAAAAACTGAATTTCACTTAGCGTTTAACACATCCTTTTAATTTCTAACTGACCTAAACTCATCCAGAAGTCAAATCACTTCAGTGTTAAGAGACGTTTATGAGGTAGTAAACCATTCGTGTTCCACCCCTGAAAGAAAGGGGCTGAATCCTATAAAACAGCCCGCGAGCCTACCATACATTTCATATTCAAAAGCAGCAGTTTATCACTATCAGTCAATGTCATGGTGTGAACGGCAACGAAAATGACTGCATTGGCTTTCCATATCATGAATACGATTCTATCATAGCGCATCCAATTTTCTGCATTTAACAAAGTAAAAAAAGATCTTAACATTTATTCAATTTTATAACCTCTGATAGAATTCACCCCATAATGGAGGTAGTTTTTTTTCCCACACGTGTGATATGCGGGAAAGGCTTTCATTTAATCAAATCGAAAAATTCTGCTTACTACATTGTCAATTGAAATGCGATTTTTCATAAACGCAAGCATAATTTTTTTATTGAAACTAAGTATTAACGTCATAGGTCAAAATGGCCATTTTCACTTGAATATATCTTTCGAAATAAAACAATTCTATAGCTTCATTTATCAAAATATAATGTTCGCGCTGCTGAATTTCACAAGGGGAAAAAACGATTATCGTCGGAAATAGAATCTAAGATTAATCTGGAGTCAACGACGTCATTGCAAATAATTGCGTTCGAGCAGGCACGAAATCTGACTGCAGCCAAGATCTTAACAAAACATCCAGTTTGTTCCATAATTTATCAAATACGAAGCTGAGGTATTTCCACGTTTTGCAGAAAAGTAATTCCTTCCATGATTACTCAAAATCCACATCGGTTTCTCTCTGCGACTCTTATGTGGAGATAAAAAGTTATTTCAAAGGCTTAAAATCCTACGCGCGTATTTGTAATCGTCAGCTCGAAATTTGTGCGCGGTATTCCACTTTAGCAAATTTATACTCTCTTTTTTTATTTATAAGCACCTTTTTATTATCACGTTCAAGCTGACCAAGATTTTCAGATCATACTTAGGTTGAGAATCAGTAAAGAACGTCTCTATTTTCTTTTTTTACGAAAAGTTGAAATAAAGATAAAAGAAATTTGAAACTGTGGTCTAACAGAACAATTAACACAAATACTTAAGAGTCTTTTTTAACATCAATAATACGGTTGTTATTATACGGTACACTGAAGAATAACTCAGTTTGTAGCCGAACTTAATCTGGTCAGGTCCGAATTGATTTATTGAAATACTTTACCTCACAACTTTAAAACTTGTTAAGAGCGTTTGTAGGCTCGAGTCACAAAAAAATAAGAATGATTAGCCGTAGCACCAAAAGGGTGTACTTTCGTTTTCAATTTGCACTCGTGATAGCTGATGTAAATTCGGTTTACATCTCTTAAGAGACATAAGCGTTAACTTAATTTAGATTAAGTTTCAATTTAAGGCTACCTTCGTGGGAAGGTTTTTCCTATATCCGCAGCTCAGGAGGTCCACAATCACCTTTGGTGAAAGAGTTCATGTAGTTAACTTCATGCAAATTTGATGTTCGGGAAAGACGGCTGCTTCGAGTCGAACAATCACCACTGCATCAGCAAAAATAAATTGATTCCAACTCTGTTGCAGCTCAATCCCACAAAAGACTCTTCCCAAAAGGATTTTTGGAATGAAAGAGCATGCTTACTTTACATAAATCATGAGTACAAATAAGTTCCTTGGGAAGTATTTTGTGAGGTTTTCTTTTCTGTGTAGACCATGTATGTGAACTATCTAACAATCGAACATCCTTAGCTGCGTTACTTTATCTTACACGCAGCACTATAGTTTCTTTAGAAACTTATCCCCTTTAACGTTATCAGAATTTTGCAGTGGGAGGCTAAAATTGTAGAGACCTTAAATCCCTCTTTAGCTCATCTCTAAGAGTAATCAGTATGTAATTTCCCCTCACAATACCACCCCTGAATCACGCATTAAGATCACGAGAATAAAGAAGATGATCATTATGATATGTAACATCAATGATTTTAAAAACTTCATACTCGGCAATTGCCAATTGCCAAGAGAGAAAACTTATTCTTCGGATATATGCCGTAAGGAACGGGGCGTAACCCGTGTAATGTGTCATTAAAACCCGAGTAAATATTTTACACTTCGAAATGCTGTTTACCCTCAGGAAAATTGTTGTATTTGGAAGTCAAATTTTTGAGCATGTTTCAGGCATTCAGTTTGTAAAACGGAGCGAAATTAATAGATTAATAATTAATAGTTAATAGGTTATCTCTATTAATGGATTAATAGAGATAGAAAAAAAAACGAGCGAGATTTGGGTCGGGTCACGTTCATTACGCAGCCTGACCCAAGCCTCCCACGTTTTTTCATTCCTCCGCTATAATCCCGCCGTTTCCTCTGATCGCGCTCCGTTCTACTGAGTGATTGTTTGTAACAGGTACCGGACCTATCTAGTAAAATTTTAGCGACGGTTAAGAATCCGTGACTAAAATGAATTTAGGTTCTTGAACTAACAGCATGTACATCGTTGTCCCTCTGTATTTTTTATTTTATTTGTATTGTTTTCAATACATTGTAACAGTTAATTGAAGCCTAGCTAAGCATACAAAATGTTAACCACGCAGTTTACAACTGCGTTAGATAATTAAAAATTTACTAATACTGAATGTATTTGGGTCGCTCCAAACTCGATTGAAAACATTCTGCGGCGTTGTTAAAACCGAAATAAGGGCTTAAAGGAAATTTGGTTTCCCTTCTATCTTGCTCATCACAAGTGAATACGATCGCAGCATCAAAGCGTTCAGGTATTGTAGAATTTCTGTTGTGTTGACAACTGAACCAGATAATAACAAAGATTGTGTTTAAATACAAGAAAAACTCAATGCTCGAGCAGTCCAAATGTGCAGGTTCAAATCAGTAAGACTCAGAACATCATTAACTTTATGACAAAGAGTTCCCGTATTTTCCATTTTTCTTTCCTTTCGGGAGAACTAGAGTTCCTTGTAAACGCTTATTTGACGGCCCACAATTTTGTGTTGTCCAGGTGGTCTCTCTCCAACCAGCTACATTACTGGTATTTTTCATTGAACAGATTATGAAGAAGCCAAGTATTCCTAAGAAATATTTCAAAATCAATTTTGATTTGTCAAAATTTTTAAGCGTTTTATGTTGTTCTTATGATCTTTAACTACAATGGATTACGTTCGATTCTTTTAGTCCTATCCACCATATTGAAAATAATCTGCTTTGATAGGGAACCCACTCGAGGTTGGACTTCTTTGATATTTATTTCAGATATTTTACACAAAGAATACATGCATTTCGGAACTTTTTAATTTTTTACTTTTTGTTGACGAAATAAATTTTGTTAGTTTCCTCAAGCTGAACTTCTCTCGTTATAAAAGGATAAACTCTCTTCTAGTAAAGTTTTGTTCGATATTTTTTTGCCTTTTTTTCATAACATACACTAAGCACACATAACTTTAATAAGCGATGCTAAGAACCCATGCAGTTCGGCAGACAAAACAGATTCATTCTGCCAAGTAATTTATGCACTCTTTCTTTTAGTGGCACTTTCAAATCTGCCGTGTGACATTCAAATCCTTGCTCTTAGAGAGCCTCAAAAATAATTCGCTCCAACTTTCTGTTTTTTTCATTAACGTACAATACATATTTTCAACGGAAAAATAGGCATCATGTCGTGAAAGTAAATCATTAATGGTTGGTTCAAATATGGAGTAGAGATCACCAATAGCAATAGATTTTCAGGTTGTATCTTAAGCGTTTTAACTTTTCTTCATTATAAATTTGTAATTGTTGTTATAACCATCGTCTTGGATAATATTTTGATTTTTGTGAAAAAAATTATGTTTACAATTATTATAATTTAAATTATTATCATTATTATTACCATAATCACTGTTTCATTGTCGTTATTACTAAAACTATTTTTGTTTCTATCAATTTAACAAATAAATCCATAGATGTTATAAATATGTGGTTCTGTGACCCATGGAAACATGGAATCTGTTTGTTTCATGCGAGAAAAAAGCAAAGAGTTGTTCATGATGACGTCATTTATTCTTCTGTTTTGCAATACATCATGAAAGAACCAATCAAAGTACGACTACAATTCAACTCATCAAATAAATCAATATTGCTAATAACATGAAAGGAGCAACCTTGTTAATTTTGACCAGTAAGCATGTGCTTTACATCTTAACATAAGCACTCATTTGCCTGAAAAAAAATGTGGAAAGTCAATCAAAACTATTGATTTAAAAGAGCTAATAAAGGCAAGTTGTAACTCTTTAATCTAAAAGAAAAAGGGGAAATTACCTTTAGGTTTGCAAACAATTATCACCCGATTAATTAGTTAATTATCCGACAGTTCTAACCCGAACAGATATGCTACACGTGAAATGCGAGCCCTGAGGCGACTTGAAACTGCCCAGTAATGAAGACCTAAAACCTGTTCGTAAACAAAACGTTTATGTAAACCCGACAGTAGTCTATTACTGTTCATTAAGGAGCATTTATGTGATCTACTGATTAATTTGTTTGATCTTTCCGCGAAAAATCTCTATCCTAATTGGTCCATGGCGCGTCTTATTTGTTATTCTCCCTTGAAAGACCAAGGCGTCCAATGATTTTTTACTCGTTATATATTCCTGTTTTTCTTCCCAATGGGTCCATTTAAGTGTTGATGTAGGTGTAATGTTCATTTTTTGAATGAAAAAGAAACTAGCAGCAGGTTTTTGGCTTAATGTGACTTTACTGATGGTAAGATATTTGCGTGTCTTTTAATTCGAACAATGCGATCTTCAATGATTCCTTTTTCACCTCCATTGCCATTTAATATAAAGCATACATATGAGATGATTTAATCGTTTTCTAAGGAGTTCCAAATCAGTTCATAATATTTCACTTATGAGGTTATTTTGACAGCAGCACTTCTATTTATGTATTTGTTATTAAACATAATTTTTTTACCATGGTTTACCGCTAACAGTAGATCACGGTAATAACATTATGAGTGAGGTTGTCGCCAGGCGATAGCACAGTTTTCGTTTCCTTGTACATTGAGCAATGTTTAAAGCTAAATACTAATTACTGTCTACATCCGTTTGAGTGTAGAACTGAAGTACTCGCTCAGCAAGACGAACGACGAACCTCTGAAGCTTGAAAAAACAGCCGCTCTTGGAAAGTTGGAAGGTAAATATTTATTTCAGTCAGGATTTTGGATCCGGCTAAATCTAGGTAAGATTTATATATTTTTTAATTATCTCCTGGACCCCTAACCGCCCCTCTTCCCCTTTGATTCTGTTTTCTGAGTGTTTAGATATTTGTATGCATCTGAACTATTGCGCCATGATTCGATTTTAATTCACTGCAAGGTTAGTTTGTGCGTCCCAACCAACTACCCAACATTTCAAATCAGAACCGAGCGCCTTTCATGCTGCATGGTCGACCAAAATATGGTAAAAAATAGTCTTCGCAGACGAACTTAAGACTTATAAATTACTCGAAAGGTTTGCTGCTCTCCTCTACTTTTTAGTAAACGCAACTTAAAGCAATGGGACAGCCAAAATGACCATTAGTGAGGCGAAAGCGCCATTAATCTTACATGCATCTAAGAGAGAATATTCCGTATTCACTAGATTCGAATCAATAGACGACATCAGTGATACAGACAGGTGTAGTTGTGCCTGGAGGTCTTGTCAGGTGGGGTTCTATCTTTAATCCGCCTACTTATCGATAATAATCAGTAACTGTCCACTATAGCCTGCTGTCAGTTTAAATTAATTTCAAAATTGTGCTTTTGAGCTCAGCATGTTCAGTGGCTGGTGGGCGCACATTTCCTTTGGGGTATATTTAATGTCTCCATGGCAAAACTTGCCAGTGGCTTCGTGCGAACTGTCTAAGGAAGAAGTAATAAATCATGACTGGAGAATCACCCACGGTGAGACGAGCTTTCGTTGAAAAGAAGATATATTTGACCTTCAAAAGTCCGCAGGGAGTAGGAAATATTACTTTTCGTGAAATCAATCAAGAACAATAATTAATTCGTCATCTTTTGAAAACCAAGTGGCGCTCCTCCCACGATTTTCTCTCGTAAACAACAATCATTACACAGTTTGGCTTATCAAGGAAAAAAAACTGAACCTAATGCTACCATATTTTACTTTCAAATTGTACATCACATTCTCAAATTGCGAGAGCTAAAAGCCCAAAGGTAGGATGTGAACAAAATTTTTATCGAAGCTGTGGCGTTTGTCCATTTTTTGAAGCTGATGAGGGTTTAAATGATTTTAGTTCGAAATGAACTGAAAATGAACTAGAATTCTGAGCCTAATTCAATGTAGTTTTTCGTTTTGGGCTCGAGTTAACTTTTTTAGCGCTCTTCTTTAACTTGCAGGAAGTTCTATAGCTTTAAGTGCTCTATCTTACTTGAATGCAAAGCGAGTTTCACCGAATCAACGAGCTTTGCTCAATCTTCTTGAGGCAAATCTTTCGTTCGACCGTGATTCACATTCTAAAAGTAACACAGTTCATCTTTTTTAAAGAAAAGAAAAATGTAGATTTTTATCAGAAATATAAATATTTCGTCGATGTGTCCAGTTTATGCGATCAGCTTTTTACGGAAGTTATATTTTCCTAGAAAAAAGTACTTCCTTGGCAACAAATTTATAAGTCATCTTTTCTAAGCGGAAGGTTATCAAGTACTTCCAACCTCCATCTTTTAATTTGTCAACATCACTTCTCGTAGTCGGTGAATCAATGCTTTTATCGGCATCGTTTTCAATGTTTTTTCATGAAGCGGATGGTAGTTTTTATTTTTAATTTTAAAAAAGTTTCATGTGAATTCAGACGGCATGTTCGAGTTAAAGCTATAAGCCTAAAAGGGTATTTAATCGAGTCGGAAATTTGAAGCTTTTTTATTTCTTTTTATAAATTTTGGTAAAATCCGAAGAGAGTGAACTTGTTTTTTCTTTTGCGGAACGTTTTGGTAAAGGGAACAGTTCCGTGTGCATGTTTACGTGGATGTCTTATCACTTCACTGAGGAAGACGGAAGCCAGCGTAATTGAATACCGCGCATATGAAAACAGTTCATAATTCCAATAAGAGACGTTGAATTAGGTGCTCAAAGATTTATAAAATTTACATGGCAGCAGCAACTGAATTTTGCAGATTAAAATCAGCCAGTTTTACGTTAATTTCCTCTGATTATTTCTCAAATCGAATGTTTGTTTCTTTTTTTTAACAGAAAATATTCAGCTTAGACCTAATTGTGAAAGATGCGCTTTATCACAGCTTGCAATGATAATATTCGTATCGCATAGCAAACACTGTTAGTTCAACTATTTAAGGGTAAAATGCCGCTTGCTTCAAGTAAAAGATATCGCTGATTTATCTGATCACTTCGGAATTCCTCGTTCACAAACAATATTGACGTAAGGAGCATCAACCATCGGTGATGAAACTTTTGTGGTGAACACCAACATGAGAGATGAATCAAAGGACGGGCATGATATATAATTCGCCACTTTCCCATTGGTTGGTTAGTAGAGCCGGTGAACGCTTATTATTTGGCTGTGCTTTGAATCCTCAAAGAAACATGAATTTTTTTTTGAATTCTCAAATCGGGGTTCCTAACTTTGAGTAACAGGCCACACTTTCTGCTGGTTTCCGGCGAAACAACCTGCATAGGATATCGGGAGACTTACAGTGGTTTAAGGTTCATAGCTGGACGTGTGTTCTTGTGTTGTTGTTGTGTTCTTGGGTCATACACTTTATTCTCACATTGCCTCTCCCCTGGGAATTGCCAGGGAGACCTGACTTAATGATGATGGGATAACCTGTAACCCCCCCCCTTCCGTCGATTCTTGCTACAAATATCGGAATAAGTTGTGGCCGGATGGGCTTCTTAGCTCGAGTGCAGACTTAGCTTTGTTTCATCACCCTGCTCAAAAGTATTTGCAAATATTCTAGGAAACACACGCTCACGAGAAAGGAGACACGCGTGGAAAGGGCTTCCCCTCGCTATCACGCGTGAATTCTCACATTCACATCGTTCATTCGTGAGTTCTGTGTAGGTTGAGTAAATACTACTTCTACTGCTACTAATTATGCGGCTTAGAGGATTGACATTACCTTCTTACCTTTCAGCAGAGCAAGACATCTACGTCACCTCAGCGTCAGTAAGCTTCGAACTCTACGATGAACAATAAAGCGGTTATCTCCATTTTGCTCTTATTTGTCGTGATCGGGTTAGTGTGGTGTAACGGTGCCAATAAGACGGAAAGCTGTAACGGCACCAATGTGACAAATAAGACAACATACTCTAATAGCACCGAGAAGAAGAAGCTATTCATTGCAGTACTCGATAAAAAAGAATCCGACGTTCACGCCGTAGAACCCGGTATACAACTGGCGATCGAAGTTGCCAAGAACTCTTCAGAATTTAAAGATTTCCTGGACAAGTATGAAATAATAACCAAAGTGTACTACACAAATGTAAGCTATGTTAAAGAAAATAATCTGAGTTTTTTCTTTTTATTTTACCACCTCCTGATATATGATTAATGTGAAGAGAATGAATTTCAGCCTCAAAGTAAAAGGATGCCCCAAAAATCATACAAACTTCATCTCTACCATCAGAAAGTATTTAAGACAATGTTCTGATTACTGCGGTTTGAGATAGACTTTCGGAAATCGTCTTCAAATGTACATAATATTCGACCGCTGATGGCATGATGTATTTTTACTTTATTTGGTCATTTTACTTAATGTGTGTTTCATGTCTGTGACTCTTGCGTGATGATGAAATTGCGTGACAAACCAAGTCGCCACCTTGGTGGCGAATCTGACCTCCTAATTGGTCAATTTGCACCACATGGCTAAGCGCCTAATATCTAATTGGCTGTGTTTGTAATGTCCCCTTTTACTATCGGCGTCGATAGTTTAATTAAAAAAAAAAAAAAAAACCTTAAAACAAAACATTTTCAAAGTCTAGGTTATTCTGTAGGATCTCAGACTGCAGCCGGAGTCATATATTTGTTATATTGTCTGATGATGAGATAAAAATTATTTTTCCCCGTAGCATACGTCTTCATCGAGGGAACTTATATCTAGGTGTCCTTTAAATTTACTTAAAGGTGTCGTGCTTCACCAGAAGTTTATTTCATGAAGTTTTTTTCTACTCTTTGTCGCTTCCGGAAATAAAATACAAATAACAATAATGTCCCTGATTTTCGACAGGGTAAAGAAGCAAATGCCATAGTTACCGCTATACATGTACTGAGATATCACTCAAAGGTGGATGGATTTGCCTTGATTCTACTTGGTCCTCAAACTCCTCCCGAAGCTTCCTCGTTATTGAAACTTGCACGATTCTACAGAAAGCTTATGGTGAGAAACAACAGACATTTTGCTACCGATTAATTCCTTTATTGGCTTAGCAGGTTTTGGGTTGACTAAGAAGCTTCCTCTTGTTGGATGGTCGGCGGGTACTATGATTATTTGATTATTAATAGATGTACGGCGAACGAAACGGAGAGACAGACGGACGGAGAGAGGACCAATGTTTTTGTTTTTGTTTGGTAAACTTCTGGGTGTTTTAACGAATTTTTAGTTGGTCAGATAGATTTTTGTTTCGGAAGGTTGATTAGAATGATTTCTTGTTTGCTTTTCCGCTTGATTACATATCTAATGTACTCATAGGACGTGTTTAATTCATAGTTACATGCAAATTATTGCGCGATCCATGAGAGAAACGCTCGATCTCGATCGTGCGCACTCTCATAGTTAGGGCAAAGAACATTCCTTCCATCAAGGAGGAAGTATTACTGGAAACTAAGCGAGTACCAAAAGCCCTTGCCGCTAATAACTACCCTGCTAATTTCATTCACGATGGCCTCCAACTTAATAGACAACAAGAAATGAATGATACCGATCAGCGTGGCTTGGTTATCCTGCTCATGCCAAAGCATTTTCCGAGAGAGTTACAAAAGTTCTTCGCGGTTTCAACATCAAGGTCGCCCATAAGCCTATCTTCTCCATCTCGAGCATACTTAAAAAGCCAAAAAAGACAAGAGCGAGAAAAAGGCTTCCAGAGAAATCGTGTACAAGATAAAATATAAAGATTGTGATTGTATTTACGTTGGTCAGATATCGCGCGCACTAAAAACACGCGTGAAAAAACACGCAAAGGCCATAGCAACATTGCATAAAAATTCTTTGTTGGCCAAACACCATATACTTCACAATCACCAAATAGACTCGGAGAGTGTTGAAATTGTTGACAGGTCATTGGCGTGGCGACAAAGACTAATTCTTGAAGCCTGGCATTCCATGCGAGATAGAAACGTATTAAACGAACACATAACGCTACCAAACATATACAATAACATTAAGAATTTTTAGAGTCCTTAAAAATACTCTAGAGATTATTTTTGCACTTAAAAAATTCCTTCGAGGTTTATCACATATCGTGGACATAAACCAATCAGGACGGTGTTAGACATTTGCATTTTTATTCTTGCTGAAGAAGGCAACAGCAGTAGCCAAAACGTCCAGAACAATATATTTTTCAGCCAGTGTCAACCTTTTTTATTCTTTTTACCAAAAATATTGATGATAATTATACCGAAGGTACATATCTGCAACTCGACTCAAGAATACTACGCAGTCAGCTGTTTATAGACCATGTGATTAACCATGTTTGGAAATTTTGTAACTTAGTTTGTTTCCGTTTGCAATTTCATCTAAATTATTGCATATTACGTGGTAGATTCTTTCGAGACTCGAAATACAAGGCTCGAGATTTCGTAAACAAGATTTAGGATCTAAAGGGTCACGGTATCACGATGTAGTTCGTGATTTTTCAGACAGAGGAATGCGGATCGTTTTAGTAATTTAAGGCAACGTTCGCTTGGCCTGAAATGAAATGGTCAACTGATGATCTGCAACTTTCCACCGTGTCTGCTAGCTTTCCGCTGAGGGAATGGAATGGGTATACCTTTTCATCCAGATCGTGCTATGAAATGACTTAATGCGTCGCTAACGTAAGACGGACTCTGGTTGGCACTTTCCCATCAGAACGCTGTATCACTTCTCTTTGAATTTAACAGGTAACGTACCTAACCACAACGCCCAGCTACCAGGAATTAAAAGATCCTTACGGGTTTACGTTTGCACCATCAGCTTTTACTTTCAATAAAGCTGTCAAAAGCATATTAAAGTTCTTTAAATGGAAAAGAGCCGCCTTGGTGTACGACTTTCTAGAGGCAGACGGTCTCTATGTCAAGGTAAGAAGTCTTTGATATCTTCATTAAAACTCTAACTTGATAATTTGAGTGAAGGACCATTACATATTTCTGGGGGGAGGGGGGTGGTTGGAAAGTTCTTGTGGATAGAGCTCAGTGTTGTTTTACTTTTTTATCTCTTAATTTTAAGCAAAAACCTGTAACTTGGCCATACGACTACACGTTTCCTCCACGTTGAATAATCTTCTCATGTGTGTTATTATATTCTATCAAAGTAACAAATTGTTTCTTTTATTTTGGTCCATTTGTGGTCCATTTTTGATCACCTGATGAGCTACTCAGCGAGTCATCATCTTATTAGCAATAAATCTCAACAACTCCAAGTAACTTTTTTTCATGCATGCGAGAAGAGAACTGAGGTCATTGTGAATTTCAAACTTTTCCTTACATAAACTTGCAGACTGTGAGTAACCTGATAGAGAAAGCAGACTTTGAAGTTATTGGATTTGAAGCAATAAATACTGGTGAAATCAGCCCTGAAGAGGACGTCAACGTAGATATCCAAGTTAAACTGAAAAAACTAAAGGTAGATGTCACTTAAACTCGCTTATACTTACAACACAACACGTCTGTGTTAGCGTTTATCACTCATGTTTCATGTGCCTTTTAGCCATTACTTTTCTTCGTTCTATGATTGGCCTAAAAACTGACACCAGCCGCCAATTCAAGGAAACACTTAAACCAATCCCTTCTTAGGTGCTCGCGCTATCATCCCTCAATTTGGTGTGAAAATACACAAATATTAACATTCATTTGGCGTGGAAATATGTGCAGATATCCAAACGTGGAAATTATTTGATCAAAGAAGGAAACAGTTTCTCGAATGCGAAGCTGGAAGAAAATGGTGAGCTTTATGAGAAACGGCCAATGCCGAACGACATATTAGAGGGCATAATTGATAAGCACAATGGATGCGAGGGTGATTTTACCCTTCGAATACTCTCTAAAGCGCTCAAAAAGAAACGTTTACAAACAGCTTACCGTCGAAAAAATTTTCTCTCCTCTTCCGTTATAACGACAAAATTGTCTCCTAACTTGAATCAATTCTTAAAGAAAGTCATCCATTGCAGGGACGCAAGGCTTGAAAATGCTCAAATCTGAGCTGTTGTATTGATATAAAGTACATGGTAACGGGGTCATGATATTTGTCTTTCCATTTAGGACTTGGATGCTAAAATATTCTTTGGTGCTTTCAATGGAAGAGGAGCTAGTCTGGTGTTTTGCAACGTGAGTTTACTAAAATTTTCAAGTAAACAAAAAGATTCCAAGTTGCCGTGCGTCTGTTCAGTAATAGATCACAGATGACGTCAAAATGTGGTAAGAACAAAAAAGTGGCACAGACGCACGGCAACTTGGAATCTATTTGTTTTATATAATAAAGAATTAAAAAAAAGTTTAATGATGACGTCATCTGTACGTCTGTCCTCCAATAGATCATAGGTGAGAACTAATCAGACTGCGTGCATAACTGAGCTTATTATATAATGTTTAACCTTTGCAAATTTTCGTCGCGAATTGTACCCAAATTGTATCCATCTTTGTCTGACAGGATTATTTATCACATAAAATGCGGTGTTATAAGGTATTTCAGGCCCTGAGAAAAGCCGTAACAACACACGTGAAAAAATATCGTATTTTTTCACCTGTGTTGATATAGCCAATCAGCTGCTGACACGTCACTCGCCTTTGACGCCACTCGGTCAGGTTGATGAATGAATGGCAAAGCCTTCACGATTCTCAATACAAGTTGTTTGTCGGAGCTTTCTCGAATTATGGCGGCTAAAACACTAAAAAATCCGTATCGTTTACAGACAAAAAGTCCGCTTTTCTTCTCAGTAAAGGGCTATTGTGTTTAAATGATATACAAAATAATACATGGTTGCCTGTAGATATGGAATTTCTCTTCTCGTGTTGAACTCGAAGAGAAATTCCGTATCTACGTGCGCCCATGTATTATTCTCTATATATTTTATGGAAATCTTCGTGTCGGAATCTTTCCGTATTTTTCCTTTCCCATAAATTGATTTCATATTAAAATCGTATTTGCTTAAATGTTTGCAAAATTCTGTTCTTTGGTAGTCCTAATCTGATTAGTTGAGGAACTCTGCCGTGGGTCGATTTGCTTAGTAAACTCGGAACTCTAGTCTAACTGTTACATAGTTTATCCAAAAATTCCTTGATAACTACTGTACTTTGGCAAACCTATGCACCTATTGATATCTATCAGCATACCTTCCAAATAGACCGAAAGAGCAGCACAGCTGCAAGCATTTAGTTATCTAATAGTAAATTAATCTAAATTTGTACTAGACACACCTACGTAATGCGGACCTATTTTTGCAGCTAGTTATTAGTTTATCTATCAATATGTTTAACTTCTTAGTTATCTAAATACTAATTTGTTTATTATTTGTATGGTCTTACAAGTTTTAGCCTTAATTCCATATCTTTATATATATATATATATATATAGAGAGAGAGAGAGAGAGAGAGAATAATACATGGGCGAGTTTTTAACGCGATAGCTCACGAGTGAGCGCAGCGAACGAGTGATATGTCGAGTTGAACACGGGAAGAGAAATTTAATATCTACAAGCAACCATGTGTTTATCATATAAACACAATAGCCCTTCACTGACAAGAAGATTCGCCTTAATTAAAGAATGAAAATAAAAGGATCGACAATCCCTGAATAAAAATCGTAAAGTGCGTTGGCGCACTCAAGATGAAAACACGCGTTGAATCACTACAAGAACAAACAATGGGCCTAATTTTCAATATACAAAATTATCAATTATTGAATTGTTCTCTACCGGCAGAAGAAATCTTTCAAGTACACGGCCAAAATCTGCCTGTAGCAAATCTTCCAGTTATTAATTTTCGTTCTCAGCCACGAGAAATGCCATTAGTAAAGCCACTGAATACGTAACTTTCGGGTTTTCTTTTCGTATTTTGGTTTTCTTCTCCTTCTAGGAAAGTTTGAACGTCACTGTCTATTAGCGATACTGATTTTTTTAGTGTTTAGCAGCCATAATCCGAAAAAATTCCGACAAATGACCTTGGATTGAGAATGGTGACGGCTTTGTCGTTCATTCATCAGCCAAACGAAATAGCGCGAAAGGGGAGTGACGTTCAGCAGCTGATTGGCGATATCAAACACGTGAAAAAATATCGTATTTTTTCACGTATACTGTCACGGCTTTCCTCAGGGCTGGAAATCCTTGTATAACACCGAATTTTAGACGATAAATATTTGATTGTTTATCGTACCCCATTCATCAGAACGTTTTAAAACCAGATCTTTGCTTATTTAAATATAGCTTAATGCGAAATCGAAGATTTCAAAAGAACATATATACAATCAGGGAATTTCAGCTTTAAATCTTCTTTGTAGTTGTACAAAATGGGCATGTATGGACCAGAGTTTGTGTGGATCCTGCACCCTGACGCGGAGACCGTCGATGTATGGAATTTCTATGCCGCAACCGAGAGGTTCAAGAACAAAACCGGGACATGTACAAAAGAAGAGTATGAAGAAGTAGCAGACAGAACTATTATCCTAGACAAAAAAATTTTATATCGGACGGATAATAATACCATTACTGCATCTGGTCTGGTAAGAAAAAAGGATGACAATATTCTGTATAGTGCTGGGGTCCTAAGTTGTTTGAGATTCATAAACGTTTACTTCTTCATAACCAAGAGGGGATAGGGCATCTTTGTACCGCTTTGAACAGCTTTGTACAGCTTTGTACAGCTTTGTACAGCTTTGTACACCTTTTTTGGTGTAAGCAATGAAGACATCAAGAAGGCGCGGAAAGCTTAATGCAAATATGACTGGTACTTCAGACAGAGATGGGAGAAGCTGAAAGAACCATAGTAGGCTTGATGATTCCTAGTTTGATTTTTAAATTTTGCCAGTTTCTTAGACGTTCTTAATTCACCGTCATTCCACTGATACACGACCTTCGGAAATTTATTTCCGTCGCCAACAAAAACAGGTTGTGGTTACATCAAACAGACCATTCCATATACTTAATAAAAGGATCTTTCGACGCTTATGAATCAATTGCAGAAAGCCATATTGGGAAGGAGTGGACATCGTAGGGTAGTTTGTTCTGCAGGCCTCCCAGAAATACTCCTTGTTAGAAATCAGGGTTCACTGTTGAAATCCCTAAAAACAGAAGATGAAAGGGCATTTTAAGGGCATTGTTACGACTACCACACAAAAACTAAAAGTCTACACAATAATTTATTTTTGTCTTTTAGTCATTACGCCAAGCGTTCATGATGAAAGGCTTCGAAAACAAGAAAGAATCTAAGAAGATCGAGTTTACAACTGCCTTTGACACCATGTGGTCCATCATGCTAGCTTTAAAGGAGGCAAATGCTGAAGAATTTCCTCTGGAATATAATGTAGAAAATTTTTTTGGGGATGATACCATATCAAAAACTATTGTATCAAAACTGGGAAATGTGTCCTTTGAAGGACTTACGGTAATTGTTTTATATTTCTAACCCCATTATCGCTAAAAATGGCCGAATAAATTTCTGGAATTAACGAACATAGCCTTCCCCCTAGCGTCCAAGATTAAAATGAAAGGATCTTCTCCAGAATGTGGCACCTTTAGTCAATGGTTACCCGAGGCCAAACTCGAGGGGGAAAGTCATACGAAGACCCATTTTTCCAGTTGTTCGTTAATAATGAGCTGTCGCTTGCGCCATTGGGTACGTCCCCCTCTATGATGAATACTTTAACCGCCTAAGGTTGATAATAAAATGACTCTTGTCCACTGACAAAATAAGAATTACAAAAACCAAGTTCTGAGTTAAGATAAAACCTTAACCATGTGTTGCTGCTCAATTCCTATTTAGGGTCCAATATCGTTTGATCCCGACGAGGACTACAGACAAGGGATAATAGGAGTGAAGCAATACAGAAGTGAGCAATAATTTCGATTTTCTTGCTTATCTTATAACTAACAGTGCTCCTAATAGTACGCTACAAAGCTGTTTTTGCACTTTTTATTTTCGTCTAGTGGGACAAACGCAGTTTGTCTCCTTTTGTCACTCGGCTTAAAAAGTTATCAGGACGTTTAGTTACGAATGATTTAAGTTGTTAACTGCCGTCCAGGAGATATATGCGGAAAATTACAACCAGCATTGTAGATCTTCAAACAATTTATTACGCGTTTGTATCATGCAAGACATTTCAGCATTAAAAAAGCAAAATCTTTCCAGAAACTAGAGATAGCGTACATGTATCGCTCAGTACTTTTAATTACTAACTACTTCATTCTAACTATTCTCTTCCGATATTGCAGTGGTCATGGGTTCAAATTCCGCACAGGCCTGAATTTTTTTCCCAGGCCTTACTTTCATCACTGCTTAAGTATTGTCCTTTATCGCGAAGATCTCATTCATATTCATAACTACTCTATTGTTTTTACCAATGTCAACAGCTAGCGAAAAGGGTCTTGTACAAATTGGAAGACATGACACAAAGAAAGATAAGTTTGAGTTGTTCAACAGCACCAATGTATGGAAAGGTAAAGTGAAATTCAACCATTAGAAAGGCTGTTAGATCAAGTGGGGAGGGGGGATGGGGGGACGGGGTTTGCTTGGTGAAACCTGTGAAAGGGATCTTGATTTTTCCTTGAGACAGAGAAAGACAAGTACCCATCAAATCGTTATAGTGGCTGTGAGCAGAGATAGGAAAAGCCGAACTGCACTATGTGCCAATGAGATCATCGGATTTGTTCCTGTAACCTTATGGGAAAAAAAAATAAAACCACACATCCATGATTAAATTACTCGATATGGTCAGCATATGGTTTCGATATTGTTTGATTTTAAATGCCAAAATGACGACCATCTAGTTGATCCATCGGCGTCAAAGCGCTCCAGAATTAGTTCCGGCATTCTTCACTAATCCGGTTGCTATCCGCGCCTCAAAAGGGTCTTTGCACTAGTTCTTCGATGTTTATATTACAGCCACATACGTTCACACGGTACCGGACGAATTTTCGATCGGCCAAAAATTTCGACCAGACATTCTATTCGCGTCGAACCGTACGAAAGTTTCGTTCTGTTCAGATGGAACTGATAACCGGATGAAGTTTATGACAATCGCCAGTAGTTTTACCGTCTCCTCATGCGCAAAATGCTTCCTAATAAAGAGTTTTCGCTGCTTCGACGTCTTCGATTTGCAGATAGATGCGCGCCGTTTTTTAACTTGATTTTCTGACATTATCAAGAACCAACACAACGTCGCCTACATGCGTGGTAAGTTCGGCATCTCCTCAACATTTGCGAGATAATATCATGCAATAAAGCTGTAATATTACCGAGCACCGCAATCAATAAACAATAAACGTGTTATGTAGCCTAGTTACCACGAATCCATGCAGCCACACCTTCGCCGTCCAAAGATTTCGACGTATAGTTAGAGTCCTGGTGTCCAGATCAAAATATCTACTGAATACCAAGTCTTGGTCTGGTTGACAATTCTATATTCTTGGAAAAAAGACTCTTTCGAACCCTTAAGTAAGTATGTAAAGAAGGCTTTGAAGATCAGTTTGGTCGCGCTATGAATTCTCCGCTTCAAATTACACCACTGAACCTAAGACTAGGACCTGGCAAGTGTGAGAATGGATTCGGTTCTTAAGGTTAACCCTATACACCCTGACATCAGTATACATATTCTCCATACTGTCTCTTTACATCTTCTGAGGTGCTGATAAGGAAAATTTGTTTAACAGTCAAGAGTCTTTGTGGCTGGTGATTATTTCCTCTATTCACATGACCTGAATGCATGATTGGGGGGAGGGGAGGGGGTGATATTGTAAGGAGAGATTAGATGCCAGTCACTCTCAGGGGTCAGAGGGTTAAGTGATAAAACTAAGGGGGAGTTATCCGAAGGGGAGCGTAGCCATGTAGTTTGGTAGCTTTTCGTTCCATCCAAAGATCCTTTGTACTATATTCTAGAGAATTCCTCACTTAATCATAACCCTTACAATTTCCTCAAATGTGATTGGTGCATCAGTTGCTTCATTTTTCACCAATCATTCTGTGCAGTTGTAATCGGACAATTGAAGCAGCCAATCATACTAGTTCCATTCAGCTAAATCCACCAATCACAGAATTGATCACAATAACCATAGCAGAAAAACAACTTATCCAAAGAAAAAAAGTCAATTTTTCAAATGGAAGAATATTTAACTAAAGACATTGTCTCCACTGGAAATATTTTTTCTAAGTGTATTTGTTTTTTCGGAAATTGAAATGGTTATGATTAACTGGTAACAGGATTTCTTGTCGTCCAATGCTGTCAGTAATCATACTCGTGATAAACAAATCGGACTCCCGCTTCGTGGTCGTCTGATTTTGTTAATCACTCGTATGATTACAGACTGAATTGGACTCCACTTGGTCCTATTACCATTATGAATTTAACCTTTTTACTCCCAAGGCCTTATTATTCATTCTCGTTCTGTCTATCACACAATTTCTACAAGGTTAGTTTGGAGAATTAAGTATTGGATCAATTAATGATCTCCTATTGATACCATTTGCATTCTTATCACTAGTCTGCTTGACATTGTATAGACATTGTTAAGAGAATTTCTGTCTAAGTTACTCATGGAAGCTAAAGGGCTAACTTTATGTTTTATGTTTTTTTAGATGGTTTTACGCCTTACGACAGTTCACAGAAAAAATTGGAGCCGCAAGCCGTTGCTATTGAACTCTATATTGTATTTTCAATCGCTTCATCCATTGGAATCCTGTTGGGGATAATGTTTCTGGTGTTTAATCGATATTATCGCAAGTACAGGCGAGTGTATTGCAATCATGTCTGCCATTAGCTCGCTGTTTTCTCTCAAGCAATCCCTTCCAATACCTAAATTGCTGTTTTGATTAAGATTCAGATTAAAACTGAGTTGTTCATGAACTCCACGAGCTTTTGGCTGCATGGTCCAAAACGTTGATGGTGGCGTTTAAAATGTATGATTTTCTCTTAAATATTATCTATGGAATCCGTAGGAGAGATTTTGCCACTTTTTCTAGATTTCAAGACCGTGAATTTTTACTCGTTCAACACTGATGACTTCTAAGGTAAAAGTGAAATCGCTGAAACTTCAAATGTTCACCGATTTTAATGGCGTATCGAAAGAGGGTCATATAGAGCGTAAGTGACCCTCCTCTGTGGCAAGACAAAGTGATTACTGCAGTGATGAAAAACTTGGAATGCCTTCAAACAACAGTGTAGGAAAAGTAAACTTAAAAAAAGAACGCAAAGTTGTCTTTCATGTAGTGGCTTGTTCCGTGTAGATTTTACTTTCGTTAATAAACTCTTGCTACAAAAATTTTTTCAAAAATTTACCCTTGCGCTTCGACTTTTAGATTCAAAGGTCACCAGGTATCCATAACATCCTGGTTCTTGCGCAATTTTTCGTCTTTAAAATTCTAAAAACAGGTCTTCTGTTACAGGTTTATCCGGCTGTCTGCACCACTATTTAATGATGTCATGGTCGTGGGCTGCATCATGTGTCTTAGTACGGTGTATTTATTTGGTATAAGAAATTATGGCGATCCAAAAACAATCATGCCTCCTATCTGCAAGGTAAATGGAAAAGGAAATTTTTACTCTAATTATTTTTTCCAGTGGAAGCTTGCAAGATGTTTTCATAGAGGTTGGAGTTAGAAGCTTTTATTGATACTGTTTGAAAGCTATCCAATTAAATTGATGGTCAATGCCTTATCGTCCATCAAAAGTGGCCTATGGGCGTTAAACAGATAACTTCCATGTAACAATAAAGAACAGAGAGAAAACGTTTTAAGAACGACCTGTTGGTGAGATCTCGGATTAAACTTGAGCTCAAAGTTGTACGATACAGTCTCGACCCTCACTGATGTCCATTTACATGACGAGAAGAAAAATCAGTTCCTAATTAGGTTGTCGTCGACTTAATTGAAGGCTGTTCTCATAATAAGGGGGTCTGTTTCAAAAGAATTTCTCGCCCATTCTTCTTTACCATTCGTTGTTATTCTAGATATTGATAATAATGTTTCTCCCAAATCAACAGGCCCGAGCGTGGATTTTGAATGTTGGGTTTTCATTGGCCTTCGGAGCCATGTTCATCAAAACGTGGCGAATTTACAAGATTTGTACCAACAAGCGCCTAAAAGTTCGCGTGAGTTCTGAAAGATGATATTCAGCTTTATTTAAAAGTTATAAGAAAATTAGATTAAAAAATATGGTTTGGTGTGGTCACAGCGTAGAATCCAATCAAGTTGTGACACATCGAAACCTCCCTTTGGGTCACCTGAGGGAAGGACACTTTGTCTTTCCCGTTCGAAGGTCTTTTATGTTCCCATCTAGAACGTCTAATTAGCCCCCTTCTATAAGATCCCTATCCCCCCCCATTTTCCCTCCTGCCTTAAACGTAAACTCAGAAGTAAAATCCGAGAGACAAAACGTTAGCTTTGTAATAACCACACAATGTTATGCGAATACGTGGACTGTGGGATTCTTTTTCATTGTTTTCTCCGTCTGATAGTCTGAATGGTACAAATTAAGTAATGACCGTAATTACTTGCTTGCTGTGTTTCAGCTCGGTCCTTTGTCCGATTGGTGGATGCTTGCAATGGTTGGTGGGATCGTTTTAATTGACGTGGGTATCATGGTTGCGTGGGAAATCGAAGACCCCCTGGAGTGGGCTCAGCAAAACTTTACTGAGAGGGTTAGTAAAGAAATGAAAACAGTACTGCCCAATGTCTATGGTTCGTCTTCGTTTTATTGAAAAAAAGCACAAAGTTTACAGCAAATAACAAAAATTAAAGTTCCTGCTATCTGCAAGAAGCCGCGTCTATCCTCAATTTGATTTCTTTCTCATTTGCTATTTCCATAAAAGTCGTGCATCTACTCCATAACATTATAAACGTAAGGAATAGAGGATGATTTAGTTTTGAGTTGGTAACTGAGTTGATAATGTAAATTTGTCACCGTGGCGGTCTCTAAACATGACGTTTCAGCTATTAGCCATTCGTCATTCATTCATCATTAACTTAGTCGATAAAATCAAATTATCTTGTTGTAAACGCTTCCGACCCATTACTTCCGTATCTTAAAACGTGTGAAATAGGCTGTTTCCTAGCTTATCACCCAATTTAACATCCATGATCGAGCCCATGAGTGCTGTAAACATTATGGTGGTCATCTGTTCCTTTAAAAAAATTCCTAATCGAATTCCACTTAAACTCCAGGAAGTGCATGTGTTTCCATAACCTGAGATGAGACAACTATAAATTTAGACTCGTAAATACTTGCGTTCAGTGTTCATAATTTTCAAGCTTTTGTCTTTATTTAGGTGATCTAAGCATATTCTTGATTCGAACTTTGCCATCAACATACATTACTCTAGTCAAAAATTCATTTTTCAATCCTCGTACTCCTATGAGCACTTTCCTCGCGAACTGTCATCCAATTCTTATAATTTGAACTCTAAGAATTAAGTACTAACTTCGTTGATATTTTCTTTCCTTCTTATCTCCTCCCTGGTCGGCATTGTACCGATATTTTAAAGAAAAATTACATTTTTTGTCACGTCTGGGGGTGAATATGTTAAGGATGTCTTCAACTGTATCATCTTGCCCACTGAATTAATCAAGGGAGATTTCAGTCTATTGTGTTCATGTGGGTGGGTCTCTCCATGACAGGCTTGAATGGGACAACGTTTCCGCTCTGACGCAAACAAAACAGTCACTGAAAACAGGTTTAGCTCATTTCTGACTGCCTTTATATCGATCTGCTTACTAATGCTAACTGATAGCTAACATGACTGTTTATTTCTCTTCCTCCTTAACATGCCAGGAACAGAGGGTAAGTTCCATATTTTCTCGCTCATTGCATGTTTCACTTAACAGCTTTCTTTTGATTAAAATCACGCTCTATTCTGCTGTTACATTCCTCGTGAGTTAACCGACCAAAAAAACAAGCAGGGAGGTTGAATTTCCTGTCTATCCTTTGTTTCCAGGTCAATATACCCTATCCATCAAATTGCTTCTTACTGAGATCATTCCCGTTTCTGGAAGTCCCAAATATATCTTAAAAGGAAATTTTTGATAAGAATAACAGATCGACAACTTCGTTATTTTGCACCTCGAACGTCTGACAAAACAATCACTACCTCATTTCACAACACTGCTGACTCGACCAATTTGTTGTAGAACACTGACTCATATTTCAAGGCCCAACGGTGGTCGTTAAAAATGGGTTTTGACTTTAACTAAGATCAGGAAGTATTTGGCATATCTTCTAAATTAAACATACCACAAGGAGCCAAGTAAATGACGCCTAAGGACCCGAATCTTTCGTGCTGAACATCAACGGCAAATTAGCAGTTGTTTGGTTCCCCAAATAAGAGACGAGAAAAACAAGTCATTCTCAAATTCAGTGTAAAAAGGTCAAATTCTCTTCGTTCTCTGTCAGTTCCAGTTAGGATTGTTTTCCAACCACCAACCCTTGCCTCGCATTAAGAGCTTGTCGAAGATGTTAGTTCGCATACTGAACTGATCGAACGTAAAAAACAATAATGAATATAAAAATGACACAGATTATGATAATAATAATGAAATAAGCGAGATAAAAGAAACGATCTGAAATTTAAGTAAAAGGAAACGAGCACATTAAACTAATGGTCCTTATCACTTCGTATACACAGAAAGACGAAGAGAAACCCTTTATCATCATTATACCAACGCTGAACACCTGTACCGCCAAGAACTTGACGGTATGGTTGGCTTTGATCTACGTATACAAGGGCGTTTTGCTACTGTATGGACTCTTCCTTGCTTACGAGACAAGAAACGTGGTGTATGCTCATCTCAACGACTCTCGTGTCATTGGCATCTGTGTGTATAACGTAGTTGTGTTGTCCACCATCGGGGCATTTCTGGCGCTGATTCTGAACAATCATCAATACGAGCAATTGTACGCCGCCTTGAGTGTGTGTATTATATTTCCAGCCACAGTTACCATATCCTTAATTTTCATCCCAAAGGTAAGAAGTATCTCGGTCAAGAATGGTAATAGTGTTGTTGCATTTTCTAAAGGCCAAATTTCAGCTTGATCAATGGCAGAGAGGACGTCCATAAATACGTAGTCAAGAAGAAAGTTGAAAGGAAATTCATATTATAAATGACTGAGTAATCAAACGATTTCAATAGACTGCAATCTTGAAACCTATCAGCGCTCGAGATTAAAGACTAAAAGTTATATATGATTTCAAAGACTACAGATTGCACGACCCCACATGATTATTCATGCATTGCAGTTTATTCAAAACAGCTATCAAAATCATTTTGATTACTCATTCTGTTGGAAATTTTGCGCTTCAGACTAAAGGTAAGGGTATTGTACAATGATTTTCATAAACAAAGCAGCTCAAATATTCTGAAGTCTACCAAATTTTCCTTTAAAAGAAACAGTTTGATTCGACAGAAGGGGATATGAATCTATTGTGTGAAGATTTTGGGCAGCTTTGAGATTTTTTTTCAGCCTTTAACACCCCCAGATTTTTGGCGAGGATCCTACCTTACAAATCATTTACTTTTTTGTTTTTTTTTTCAGCTAATACATCGGATGAAAATGAGCTCCCTCGAAGATGAGGCAGGAGAATCAACGACAAACACCAGAACCTTTAATCGGCCGTCCATTGACATAACCAGTACTTGCGGTTATGCCACTGAGATGGGTAGAGAGAGATACGTTGATGCTTCTTCAGCGAACGGCAGCGTTAACACGCTTTGTGTGTATCAAAACGGAGATGCTGGACTTTCTCCTGCTCCTTCACCGAAACCACCCACGAAATTCCAAGAAATATCGCCTAAAACTCTCGAAGATTGAGGGTATAGTACGATAATAAAAAGAAGGATTTAAACGTCGCCATGTGACAACGAAAATTCAACTCACCTTTAACTCTCGGGCTATTGGTATTTCTAGAATTTTTTAAGAGAATTATCGCGAGGAGGAAGACATGCCCACGTCCCAAAATTGCTTTGAAGTTTATCCACAAGTACGGAGGACAACCCGTCCTGGAGAAGTCGGTTGTTAGGATATTGTGTTGCCACTGAGCCTTCATGAGTGCGAAACTGTTCAAACTGATTACTGATGACAAAGCACAGTGGATACATCTCACCGAAAAAATGAATTTCGGACAGAAGTTGTGAAATCCGAAGTTGTGGGTGTGTGTCAACCTCAAGGGATGTTACGTGAAGAAAAAACTCGTAAACTTCACACGCTGGTCTCGCAATTTTAAAAACTTCTACGGTTCTTCAAGTAAATAAACGCAGGAAATTTGTGGAAATACTTTTAGATCTTTGAACTGAAGAAAGCTGGAACTGCTACGTAGAACATTTTGTCTTAGCTGTTTTTAGGTGCTGGATCTCACTTGAAATACTCTCAATGGTCTATCTTTAAAAAATTTTGAAGAATTTTAAATATTGACCGTAGTGCAACTGTATTTAAATGAAAATATACAGTTGTTATTATCATCATCAACATCAGTGTCATTATTGTTATCATTATCATCATTATTATTTATTATCAGTAATTTGTGTGAATTAGAGTGAGCTACAGCTTTATAGATAACCACGGTAAGCATATCGACAAAAACAATAAGTTTGAGTCTGTTGAAAACATCGTCAAGGCGTTCACGTACACTGAAAAGCAGAGAGAGAAGGTCCTTGAGACCCTCTGCTTATTTCTGGAACTTATTCAATCGGAATTCAGTGTAGTGTGTACATTTTAAAACGTGGTTCGGCCACCATGCCGACTGAATCTTGCAAGTTCGTAGAGCCATTTCATAGCTTGTGCATCATAAAAAATTAGCACATGTTACCTTTAACTAAGGGCAGGAGATGAAGCTCTTGAAGAGACGTGAGTCTTCCTTTTTACCAGGAGAGTCATTTGTAAATTGTTCTTAATAAAAACTTGAAATCAATATCTAGCTCGCGTTTACTCTCTGTCATATTCCATGCAAACCCGCCCCTTTTGTGTTTATGTCCGACCAGTGAAAATTTCACAGTTCGCTCGGATACGAAGATAACAAATTACCCATGACTGACATGAGAAGTCAATTTTTTAATCTGAAAACAACCTTAAGGGCGGAAAAAGCGCGAGGGAGGGCAAGAAGCCACTGGACTCTACAAGTAGTGCCAGTTCTCCTCGAGAAAAGCCTAAAGCGAAACGGACTTGAATCAACGAAAGCTTGAGCTACTTTTGATACTCAGTCGAAAAGTTTTATAATTTAATGATTTTAGTTTTATAATTTAATGAAATTTTATTAAAAGCGATGAATTCCATTCTCTGCTCGAAATGTATCAACTGAAATATTGAGCAGTTCATGCGTAATTTTTGCGCGTTTCTCACACTTTATCCGTTCTTCTACTCGAGGTGCAATCAGTTAAAGTCATGGTCGTTTGATGCTATGGTAACGTATGTGTTTGGCTTTTAACAATCTCAAGATGAGTGTGATTCAAATTTTAGTTTCACTTTCCAAATTATACTCTTATATTAATCCTTCGACCCCAAAGAGTGACTAGTATCTAATTTCATTCTTCTTACAACATCATCTCCGAATCACACATTAAGGCTATGAGAATGAAGGATATTATCGCCAACTCAACATAAGAAGTTCTTGATTGTTAAGCAAATTCTCCTTGTCTATAGGAAATGTATGGAGAATAGTATGGAGATTATATGCGTACTGATGTTAGGGTATAAAGGGTTATGGGACTTTACACGGAGACGCAAGATGAGCCAAAAACGCCTTGATGATAAATACGTGTGTGTCGTTGTTCTTCGCTGAAACCCTCTTTTGAAACGCGGTAACACCACAACTATTTAGTTCTTAAACACACCAAGAGGTATGTTGCATAGGTAACTGACCTTATAGAAAATAAAAGAAATTTGACGGGGAAAGTCCCCCGCTGTAAAAAATAAATCAATTACAGTGTTGATGACGTCTTTTCAAAATCTTCTCCCCAGATAGCGACCGCCACAGATGTTTTCTTCGATCTTTCATGAAAATGCTGCAGTCATCAGGTATGGCATAACTTCTGTTCTGCTAGGTTGTAGAGTTGTTCTTTCTGAGGTGACTTTAAAGGAGATATTAGGCTGTTGTCAACTCGTGACTTTCGCGTTTGAATTTTCTCCTCGAACAACACCAGCCAGGAGCCCCATGGTTTCGGCAGAAGCTTTGTACAATTATTTTTTTGCGCTTTAGAGAACAATCTTTGAAAAAGTTCGATCATTTATGACAACCTTCATTTCAAACTTAACATTTACCTCTGTATTTTAAACTAAAGCAATTTTAGCGATTAACATTGAAATTACTTGATGAACTTTGACGACGAAGAAACTATTCAAGTGAAAAAAATATTTCCAAACAAATAACATTTCAGGCTTTCAAGTTATCTGGGAAAGTTCCATTTTTTGATTCAGTCGCTCGATTTTAGCCATATTGTCACAAGAGAGGTATGATGAATCACCTGTCAATATTTCATAACCGTCACCAGCAGAGTGGAAAACAAAGCATGCACCATATTGCCAAATCCTACAGGTGAAGAAGAAGAACGCGATCACGTTGAATAGCAACCTCGTTCCCAGGGTCCTCCCTTTTTCTCCCGCAGGTTGCTGCTGGGGCCAGATCTCTGAAATATTAACTGACCAACTATCTAAGACATTTATCCATCACAATTAAAAATTTTCCTGGATGGTTGTCCCTCCTGTGCTCTCCTGAGTTTGTCTTTTCCATTCGAAGCATACGCCTGTGGTAGTTTTCCCTTTTTTGTTTGCTTGTCTACGGTGTGTAAAATGTTTCTCAAATAGTTATCATGACAAAGATGATGTATATTGTGATGGGAATATTTTGATGAGAACAAGTATTATACGAAGAGGATTCCAAGAGTTCGAAAGTTTTATTTAAGAGGACATAAAGGTTTAACAAAAAATAAAATGTTTAATTTCAAAAAAGGTCCAGGATCTAAAGTTAAAAATCTTAAAAGTTAACTTGGACACAAAAGCAACACTATTCCTGTGATAAGGTATGAAGTGATTAATCAGGAGTTTCTTTCAAATTTCGTTAAAAAATCATTATGGGCATCGGTCTCAATAGTTAATTTTGCTGTATGTCCCAGTCTTTCTCCATATTATGTTCTTAGAGTAATATCCTTACCTCGCGTTGTGGCGATGCACTCGGTTCAATGTGTTTTTGTAATTTCTATTTTACACTTCCACATTTTCACTGCAACAATGCAGCTAAAGATTATATTTCTAATATCATCGTGTAACTACTTTACAGAGAGCTTAACTGAACGCCCGTTTTCAGTGTGATGGAGAGCTCAAGTGTGTCTGTTTTGTCGATATTCTGTTGTCGAAGGAAAAATGTTCTTATCATTCAAGAAAATGAAGAGTAAGTAAATCTCCTCGGTTTCTTTTTTGTGTTCGAAGTCTTAAAGAATGCCTAGTTCTTTAAAAATACCCACAGTCATTCTTTATCGCCTGTGTGTGTGCGTGTGTGTGTGTGTGTGTGTGTGTGTGTGTGTGTGTGTGTGTGTGTGTGTGTGTGTGTGTGTGTGTGTGTGTGTGTGTGTGTGTGTGTGTGTGTGTGTGTGTGTGTGTGTGTGTGGGAGGGGGGGGGAAGGGGGGCGTCCGAGGATTTTTGATGTGTCACGAATAAATTTACCTGATTCTCCCATAATGCTCTGAAATATCCTTATGACCGATAATTTGCAGTCGATTTTCCATAGTCTTCCCTTTATACTCTGTTGGTGACGACTTATCCCTACCCCGTTGCCCTTGAAAACCATGTGATCCTGGAAAATCTTTCCCGACCCCTCCATGTGATAAATAATAACTCTTCAGAATGCCGCCTCACGCAAAACACTTTTAGGGTTGCGTGACAAAACCAAACACAAGCTTCGTTGATACTTGAGGTTTGAAACGGAGGGAATTTTACTAGCTGAGGAGCGGATAAGCGCGAGAGGGATCTGTTATGGGTGATTACTAAAAAAATAAAAAAAGGTATTTCTGCATAACGAGTTACCAACCAAAGTACAATTGTAGTGGTGTACTTTTTATGTTATCATATGACATTGAGAAGGCTAGCTACGGATAATTATAAATTTTGGGTCCAGACTGCCTGGTAATTGAGCTATAAACAAAGAACTGAGATTAGGAAGTCGTCATAACCTTTATACAAAATATCACTTCATAAAATTTATGAGAGCACGTACGCATGACTATCAAATTCGTCGGTACGGTGATATTGGAGAAAAACTCACAACCGGTAAGTATCGGCGTATTTCTTTAATCCTTTTTTGGTGTTGTTGGTGTCTAAATCTTGGGAAATTATAAGGAATGCAAATTTCCGTGACTTTCGAAAGAAAATACCACAGGAAATGCGCTAGGTAGTCTCGTTAATGTCCTCAATGTGTTAATGTAAAACACCTCCGCTTTATTATGAATTGAAAATCAATGCCTAATCGTGTATGGAAAACACAAAGTGCTCTTTTTAAGTTGCGACTGATTGAGTACAGATATTTAAAGCTTTTAGGGCATTTTGCACGGTTGTATGTTTGATCAGTAAGCGATTTTCGGTAACTACGGTATTGAGGGCTTTTTGAGGGGAGAACGTTCTTCATTAGCAAAAAAGAGACTGGGTCTGGAAGACACACTGTTGGGCTCACCATGGCCGCCGACCGAAAATTTTGTAAGGAAATTAGCCCTTTGTGTTTTCTCCATTCATGTGCGTGAAAGTAGTAAACAACGCCGTTGCTACAAGCAACGTGATATTAAAATGCTAAACAAAACTTGGTCTTGAAAACAATAACGCAATTTTATGAAAATTTATGATAAGTAGTTAGGACAGTGTTGCGTGGTCGACGATGGCTGATTTTGGATACTGCCTCGGAACCTTTAGGTTTTGGTGTTAATTCAATACCTCGCGGATACCTAATCCTGACCTTGTTTGTATTAATAGTTCTATGGGTTGCGGAACCTCGAAGCCTCCAGTTGTAAGCACTGCACATCAAACACGAGCACCTTTGCCCTCCAAAACTCACGACGATAAACCGGGGCAGCATCGAAGCATCCAACAGGATAGTCGCAAACCGGAGAATCCGCGCATCGAACAGAACGAAACTGAAAACCAGCACGAGTATATCGACAGTAGTGAATTTCACCCACTCTCCTACGAAGAAGTCGCAGCTTTACGTCCAAGCGATCCTGAAAATATGTGGGCGATTGTGAAGAAGACATGTGACAGAAACAGGGAATGGAGGCTGGACTCTGTAAAGAATCGACGAGGTTGGAAAACGATAAGACTCTTTGTATCTTCAACTTTCCGTGATTTTCACGCCGAGAGGGAAGCTCTTGTGAAAGAGGTGGGTTGTATTATACACGACAGAATACAATCGATAGAAAATAATCTATCTGCTGAACCAAAAACAGTGCTTACGAAGAAGTCTCGCAGTAGACGAAAGAAAGAGGTTTTAAGCTGATTGCTTACAGCGTTTGATTTTCGTGTGCTTCATTCCTCTTGTAAGATGTAAAAACCCTACTTGAGAGCGTTTTCTGTATAAAATTTCTGCTTTATTTTCATGTATAACCTTAAACGATAACTCAAAGTTCTGTCCCGTTCTAAATACCTGTAACAGAGAAAAGTTAAATATGTAATGACTGTTGACAAGAACAGTTTGATCAGAACCATTTTCTTACTCATAAAGATTAGATCGTCGTATGAGAGGAGAATAACGACTTTAGAGTCTGGACTCTTAAAGACCACAATGAAAGGACATTCTTACTCAGATCGTCTTATGAGGAGAAAAACAACTCTAGACTCTAGACTCTAGACTCTTTGAGACCACAGTGAGAGGACAAATTTTCTTTTACCAAGATTGTGTTGTGTTATTTAATTAGTAATAAAAACAAGATGGCGAA